AAAAAAAAAAAAAAATTACGGTGCTTTCTAGGGCTGCGCAAAGTTTCAGTTGCCGATTTGAGTTGGAGAAAATTCAGCCTGATTTGGCGGCCGAATCATCGAATCCAAATTGAATTGGGAGACCCAATAAAAGCTCTAAATTGATTTGAAGCATCCAAATTGATTTTGGAAAAGATTTGGCAATTTCAGAAGGCGGTCTTGCTTGCAGGGAAACAAACTGAGAAGGGGCGGAGGGGGGGAAAGACTTCTCTGATATTGACATATGTAGCTGGCCAGTGATTGATCTTTTCCCGAGTTCCCTTCTAATCACAGTGCTGTGGGGGAGGGATGTAGAAACAGCATATAAGGCTCTGTGTGAAGCTTTTCTCTCCTTCTTGTGAGCTGTCTGTCTGGAAGCAACAATATGTGAGAGGTACTGGCTGCAGTGGCTGGCTTCCTAGTCAGTCTGTTGCTAGTCTCTCTTCTTGGAAATGATTGGATACACCTTTCCAATGTATTACAGATACAAGATATAGTAAGCAGATAGAAGACATTTTACATGCGCACAGACATGCACCCCTGGAAATGCTAGGACCATGAACCTCCTTGGTGAAAGGCAGGCAGAGGTCACCTGAAAACCTCCAGCCACCTCACACACGCAGAGTCCTGGCTAGAGAAAGCCCAGACCTATAAGATCTTTGAGACACCTGAGGCTAACTGGTTGCAGTCAAGTTGTGAGGCTCCAGGTGAGCTTAACTGCCTGGGATGCCATCTGCGAGGCATGGGTTGCATTTTGGGGGAGGTACAGAGCTACAGAATGGTTGTCACCGTTAGACATCAGGGGCCTAAATGGGCAGCCTCCTGACTGGGTAACATCTGAATCAGTTTTCCATCAAGGTGTGGGAGGCAAAAGAGGGGCAGGAGGTTGGCCCAGAATTGGGTGGGCGGGCCGAGATCTAAGCAGCATCAGGAAGGCCCCCTGTTACAGGCTACGATCCCTGCTGTATTCAGTCTGCTCTGCCTTAATGCGCACAAGACAGACAAGGTTCTCTGGGTCAGTCTGATATCTTTTAGTAGACCAACTGAGTACTTGGAGAAATATATCTTAGCAAGTTTTCAGGTTTAAAAACACTTTGTCAGGCTGAGGAGGCATCTGCAGTTTGGGCGTGTGGTCTTCCTGGATGGAAGGAATAGTAAAGAAGCCAGAGGCTGGTGTGCAATGCAGGCAAGAAAGCCAGTCAGTGAAAAATGTAAATTGAGGCCTCTGGGAGTGAGACACAGGCTGGGGCTGTGGGG